ATGTTAAGAGGTCGTGCGACATGAAGACATTGATAGCAATATGGGGGGAGTTCCCATCAGGCAACAACGGTTCTTCCTGACCCTACTTAAGCATGCATATTCTGTCAGTGAAGACTTGGTGTGAAGCCTTGGAGCTTACGTTAGAAGAGAAAAAGGCCCGGGGCTAGGGTGAGCTGAGGGGCGACAGCGTAAGTGAGCGAATGTGTGTAAGCCCAGTCAAACATGACTGTTCTAGGCGGGGAGGGCCACCCACCTTCGAATGGTGTTGGTCTTACGGACCGTGGATGGATTCGCCTCTGGCCTCGGGGCACGTCGGAACCGCATGAGTTCACCGGGGTGGAGCACAGTCCGCCAAAATCGGCATAGTTTAGGTGCTATTGATGGAACATGGTAAGCCTATCTTTCTCCATATGGAAGTGCTGCGGGCACATAGAGATGTGGGTAGAGGAAGTCTCAAAAAGCGAAGGCCGAGCTGTAGGTCACGTGACCTGCACCGAGTTGGTGGCTGACTGGGCTTTTTCCTTTATCAAAGCAGATCAGCTCGCCGCCTTCTTGTTATCAAAAAGTCGGTCGAATCGGGCGGAACGTCGAATGAAATAGGTAGCCGGGTTCTCTTTTTACAACCCTTTTGCCCCCCCCCCCTATCCCTTATGTTTAGGAGCGAGATCCGCCCAAGAACGACCAGTCCTGTGGTGGTACGGAAGGCACGGACTCCGCGAACGTCCCGCGCCCCCAAGACTAATAAAGGAAAGAAAGCCTCAACCAGAACCACATTCCTTTTGCATGCGGATTTAGCTAAGTGTCTGACTGGTCATAGTTCCCTGCTGTTGCGGCCAGTGCTCGTTTGCGCGCAACCCAACAAACAAGTAAAGGATGCCTCTCGGGGCATCTGAGAATGATTCGAGCCGTATGAAGGGAAACTCTCACGTACAGTTTGTCTTTTTTTTGGGGGGGGGGGGGGGGGGAGGAGCCCGACAGGGTCCCCCCACTGACTTGGCCCAGGCCTAAGTGAAAGTGAAGTGGTGGGCCTACCCATCCCAACCAGGGGTATGCTGGGATTCGCGAAGAGCAGCACCTTACGATGTTCATTACCAATCGGATCCTGACGTATCAGTAGGTACCAGAGGAGATCGCTATGATCGTTACTGTATCCGTATTGAAGAGATGCGACAAAGTCTGCGGATAATTTTCCAATGTCCTAATAAAATGCCTAGTGGCATGATCAAAGCCGATGATCGTAAGTTATGTCCTCCATCACGATGTCGAATGAAACTATCCATGGAATCGTGCGCCGTGTGAAACGTAGATCATCGCCGTTCTTAACCGAGACTCAGGTTAAGCTCCGTCTCGGAACCTAGTGGGGTTAGGAGTAAAGCATCCCGAGGTTGGCGCATCTCGTTGGGCGTGGAGAAGCATTGGGAATCTCCATTTCTTTCTTCGGAGCCGTTTCTTTTCCCGTCCCCCCGCCCCGGCATAGCGCTTCGCTTCCGGTTCTTCGGAAGAATCAACTAACTTCTCCCTTCTTCATTGATCTGGGGGAAAAGGAACCGTCTACCAGTTGGCAAGCTAGACATCAAGTAAACGGCTTGATGAGGATAACTAAGCTGACACGCCGGAGTTGGCTGCTGGCACAACAGGGTGGTGCCTTACCGCACCGCAGGCGAACGCGCGGTAGCGTTCGTGGTGGTGCTTCAGGATTCCAATGTAGTGCGTCCAAGATCAGAACGAGCTTGCCGGCGGACCACTGCCGTCCCATTCTTGAGTGAGCTGGAGCGCAACCATCTAATCCACTGAACTAGCTAGAAGCTATCGCTTCGGGTCGAAGCACTAAAAGAAAAGGACCGGGAAACGTCCTTAAGTAAGCTCCTTCGAATGTGTGAGGACCTACAGACTGCGGGTTTGCAGTCCGCAACCTTCCGGCAATTGGCCGACAGAGTGCCATTCCGGGCGGATGCGGATCAACACTCAGCCACCTAGGACAGGATGAGATCGCGTGCAAGACGCGACGCTCCCTATGATATCTGAGGTCTTTTTCCCATGCATCCTTTCTGTTGGTCAACAACCAAGCACATCTCTCTTTATTAACTACTCCGTGCAGGAAAGACTCTCTTTCTGTCTGGAGGGAATTTTTTTGTCTCAATCAATCACTATGTTTCCATTCAATTTTCATTACGAAGATGTATCACGTCAGGACCCGTTGCTCAAACTGAATCACGCCAACGTTATGGAAGTTCCTGGATCGTGTGAAATAAGATTAGTACCTAAGGCACCCTATGATTTAATAATAATAAATGGAAAATTGGCTATGGAGATTCCGCGCGGTCAGAAATTCATACAGACACAAAGGGGTTCAATAGGAAAGTCGTTTCGATCCAATCCATTCTTGGGGTCAAAAAAAGACAAAGGGTATGTCAGTGACCTAGCACGACAAAGCACTCTCCGAGGGCATGGAATGTCTAATTTTTCGGTCAGAATATCGACAGTAATGTCTCTGTTAGATTCTCCGGTCGAAATACGGGAAAACTCCATTCAATTCTCGATGGAAACGGAGTTTTGCGAATTCTCCCCGGAACTGGAAGATCATTTCGAGATCTTCAAACATATTCGAGGGTTCAATGTTACTATTGTAACTTCGGCCAACACACAAGATGAGACTTTACCACCGTCGAGCGGCTTTTTGCAAAAAGATGAGGGAGAAACTCAGTAAGAGATGTCGGAGAAGCGAAATATACGAGATCACAAACGCAGATTGCTCGCGGCTAAATATGAATTGAGACGAAAGCTTTATAAAGCCTTTTGTAAAGATTCCGATCTTCCTAGTGATATGCGGGACAAACTTCGTTATAAGTTGTCCAAGTTGCCAAGAAATAGTTCCTTTCCACGGGTCGCCCTCGTTCCGTATATGAGTTCTTTCGAATTTCTCGTATCATTTTTCATGGATTAGCATCTCGAGGTCCTTTGATGGGCATAAAGAAATCGTCTTAGTAGCAACCGCCAAACCCATAAAACAAGGGTTAGCTCCGCAGCTGGTCCACAAGCAAGGTAAGTAGGTCCATTACCGGCCGGCTCCGGACCGAAAAGACCTAATGGAGTAATCCCTTATCTCGGATCGGAGATGCTAACGGGGCAGGAATCGAAGTGGGGGACCTATCTACCGCCTGTGTCTATCTCCTGTCAAGTATGCTCCCCAGACATAGACTACGTACAGGGTAGTACTCTTGGATATAATATCACCGCGTGAACGTGAACATAACATTAAGTTACGAATGTAACTCCCGAGGGGTCGACCACTATTCTAAATAAAGTAAGGCGGAGAATTGTTGTTCATTGGAGCGCCGGAGTGCGGGGGTTGTTCCCATCATTGAAGTCAGAGTGTGGGACTGATCCTTCCGAATGATAAAGAAAAAAAAAGTGCTTAGTTTCGTTGGAAAAACCAACACAAATATCATATTGACTTTATCTCGCCCGGATAGATATAAAAGGTTGGAGAGAGTTACTTTATGAAATTGTCTCCTTTCTAAAGTTGCGCAAGGCAGCCCCACCCCTCTTTTCCCCCCTTTAATGAAAGACCCTCGCCCCAAAAAAATGGGATGAATTAAAAAAAAGCTTTTTGATTGATTCAGGGCGCAGCGAAACCAATTTATTTCAAGGCAAAAGGGGGACTTACTTACTTGACTTTTCCTGACGCTGAGTCATCCTATTCAAATAAAATTTAGCTATGTTAATTGAACAGGAAAAGTTTTCAGATGATATGGACCCTGGACGAGAACCTCCAATTGCTTAGGGGTCGCACTCTGCCCCGCTTGGTGGACGAAATCTTCTCTCCTTTTATATTATTTCTCCCACACACCTTTGCCCTCTTACCAACCCCATTTTTTCCGCTTTTTCATTGGGACTGGTTCTTGTTTGTATATCTTTATTATATATTTTAGCAAACTCGCATTTTGTAGCTGCATCACAGCTACTTATTTACGTGGGAGCTATTAACATTTTAATCATATTTGCTGTGATGTTCATGAATAGTTCCGAATATTACCAAGATTTGAATCTTTGGACCGTAGGGGATGGAACTTTGATAGTTGGTACAAGTATTTTTGTTTCATTAATCACTATTATTTCCGATACATCATGGTACAAAATTATTTGGACTACAAGACCAAATCAGATTATTGAGCAAGATTTGATAAGTACTAGTCAATAAATTGGAATTCATTTATCAACAGATTTTTTTCTTCCATTTGAACTAATTTCCATAATTCTTTTAGTTTCTTTGATAGGTGCAATTGTCGTAGCTCGCCAGTAAGAAATCTTTAGAGAACTAGTAATAGAAATCAAGATTCTTTTTTTTTTTCAATTTTCTCACATTTATTTCTGTCGAATTCTATGTGAAGTGAAAGAGTTTTTTTTTTATGTAGAAATTCTTTTTTTTATTGCCGATATATTCTTTTGTTAATGAATCCAAATTTATAAGGAGTTGGTCAATGATGCTCGAACATGTACTTGTTTTGAGTGCCTATTTATTTTCTATTGGTATCTATGGATTGATCACGAGCCGAAATATGGTTAGAGCCCTTATGTGTCTTGAACTTATACTGAATGCAGTTAATATAAATCTAGTAACTTTTTCTGATTTTTTTGATAATCGCCAATTAAAAGGAAATATTTTTTCAATTTTTGTTATAGCTATTGAGCCGCTAAAGCGGCTATCGAACTGGCTATTGTTTCCTCAATTGCTCGTAACAGAAAATCAACCCGTATCAATCAATCGAATTTGTTGAATAAATAACATTAATCCTATAATAATAAAGTAGAATTTCAAATAGTGTAATATGAATCTAATCAATTCATTTGAGTATTTATTCGACACAACTTATGATCATATCATGTTTACATTGCCTAAATCATAAGAAATGAAAGTATCCTGGTCCTCTTCGATTCCCTCTTGTAAATTTATCTAGATGCCTTTTTTTATTAACAGTTAACAATATTATCACAAATCATTGATTCATCTGGTATATAAATATACGATTCATTTACGAGTTTACTAGATCGATAATTTTCATTTTTGAACATCCAAAATTACTATAGATAATGTCACATTCAGTAAAGATTTATGATACATGTATAGGATGTACTCAATGTGTCCGAGCCTGTCCCACAGATGTATTAGAAATGATACCTTGGGGTGGATGTAAAGCTAAGCAAATAGCTTCTGCCCCAAGAACAGATGACTGTGTTGGTTGTAAGAGGTGTGAGTCCGCTTGTCCGACGGATTTCTTAAGTGTTCGAGTTTATTTATGGCATGAAACAACTCGAAGTATGGGTCTCGCTTATTGATTCGTTTCAAAAAACACCACACGAATACGTTTTTTACTGGCAAAAACTCGTGTTCAAAATAAAAAAGAAAAAAAAATTCTATTTTATTTTGAGCATGGGCTTTTCTGGCCCAAGTGTATCTTATTTTTATCACGAATTTTTTTCCTTGGTTAACAATAGTTGTTGTTTTCCCAATAGCCGCATGTTCCTTAATTTTCTTATTTCCTCATAGGGGAAATAAGGTAATTAGGTGGTATAGCATTTGTATATGCTTAATCGATCTCCTTCTAACAACCTATGCATTTTGTTATCATTTCCAATTGGATGATCCACTAATTCAACTGACGGAGAATTATAAATGGATCCATTTTTTTGATTTTTACTGGAGATTAGGAATAGATGGACTCTCTATAGGACCTATTTTACTGACAGGATTGATAACTACTTTAGCCAATTTAGCAGCTCAGCCGGTTACTCGAAAATACCAATTATTTTATTTCCTAATGTTAGCAATGTATAGCGGTCAAATAGGACCATTTTCTTCTCGAGACATTTTACTTTTTTTCATCATGTGGGAATTGGAATTAATTCCCGTTTATCTACTTTTATCCATGTGGGGGGGAAAGAAACGTTTGTATTCAGCTACAAAGTTTATTTTGTACACTGCAGGAGCTTCTGTTTTTTTATTAATGGGAATTCTGGGTATTGGTTTATATGGATCTAGTGAACCAACATTTAATTTTGAAACATTAATTAATCAATCATGTCCCGTGGCACTAGAAATAATATTCTATACGGCATTTCTTATTGCTTTTGCTGTCAAATCGCCGATTATACCCTTACATACATGGTTACCAGATACCCACGGAGAGGCACATTACAGCACTTGTATGCTTTTAGCCGGAATCTTATTAAAAATGGGAGCATATGGGTTGGTTCGAATTAATATGGAATTTTTTTCCCACGCTCATTCCATATTTTGCCCCTGGTTAATGATATTAGGTTGTATTCAAATAATCTATGCCGCTGCAACATCTTTTGGTCAACGGAATCTAAAAAAAAGAATCGCTTATTCTTCCGTATCTCATATGGGTTTTATAATTATAGAAATTGGTTCTATAAGTGATACTGGTCTCAACGGGGCCATTTTACAAATAATATCTCATGGATTTATTGGTGCTGCCCTTTTTTTCTTGGCAGGAACTAGTTATGATAGACTGCGTCTTCTTTATCTTGACGAAATGGGCGGAATGGCTATCCCAATGCCAAAAATATTCACTATTTTCACTATCTTATCAATGGCTTCTCTTGCATTGCCTGGCATGAGCGGTTTTGTTGCAGAATTGATAGTTTTTTTTTGGAATAATTACTAGTCAAAAATATCTTTTCATGATGAAAATACTAATTACTTTTGTAACAGCAATTGGAATGATATTAACTCCTATTTATTTATTATCTATCTTACGACAAATGTTCTATGGATACAAGTTTTTTAATACATCAAACTCTTCTTTTTTTGATTTTGGGCCCAGAGAATTATTTATTTCTATTTTTATCCTTATACCCATAATAGGTATTGGTATTTATCCAGATTTCATTTTCTCATTTTCGGTTGACAAGGTTGAAGCTATTCTATCTAATTTTTGATGGATGATTTTTGTGAATAAATGAATCAAAAAGATACAAAAAAATATTTTCCCGTTAGATTCATTTAAAAAATTGAAATTAGAATCGAATATGTTTGTTGTTTGTTGTTCCTGACTCTGCTTCACCTTAATTGTTATTTTAACAAGTAAAGTTATGTCTTGGTCCGAGTGGGAATAGCATATCTCTTCTGCATGTCCATAGAGTTTTGAAAAATCCAAACATCTCAGAAAGAAATAGAGAAGTCGGTCGGAATTTCTCGAACGAACCACACTCCTTCATATACGTCAGGAGTCCATTGATGAGAAGGGGCTGGGGAAAGCTTGAACCCAATTCCTACAGTGATGAATATAAGCGCAATTGAAATTCCCGGAGAGTTATACATTTGTGTATTGATAAGACCATTTACTATTTCTTGAAGCTCCATTTCTCCCCCGGATGAACCATATAGCCAAGAAAAACCATGAACCAGAATAGAAGAGCTTGCCCCACCCATGAGTAAATATTTCATAGTAGCCTCATTAGACCTTACATCTTTCTTGGTATATCAAGATAGTAGATAGGAGCATAAACTGAAACATTCTAGAGCTACAAAGATAGTTATTAAATCGTTAGCGCTGCATAAAAACATTCCTCCTAGAGTAGCGGTTAATATAAATAACAGAAACTTTGTTATAGCCATTTCTATACATTCAATGTACTTTATGGATAGAGGAATACATAGAGTTGAAGATAGTAAAATAAGAAATTGAAAGATTTCGTTAAAATTGTTTGTTTGGAAATTTCCCGAAAAACGAATAATGGGTTCTTCTCTCCATCGGAACAACAGCGCCATTATGCTCATTACTAAACTTGTTGAAGAGAAAAAATAGAACCAAGATATCTCTTTTTGATCCGAAGTGGAATCGATCATCAGAAGAAGAATTAGGCCCAAAATTAGAATCAATTCCGGAAAAAGAAAACTTCCATCGAAAATAAGCAAATGAAAGGCTTTCATAAAAATTCTCGTAGACTCGAGAATGAGATTTTCATTCTGTACATGTCAAATCATGAATTAGTACATGGAATCTCCAAAAAAAATACCCTTTGATGTATGGATCCTTAGGTCCATGTGTGTATATGGACCATAGATCCTGTTCATGGATTAACGAAAAGGTGCACGAGTTCTATTTGCTTCCGCCATTTTCTGAATCTCTTCCTTTTTGCGTATGGCATCACCACGCCCCTTGACAACATCCACTAATTCAGAACTGAATTTGAAAGCCATATTTCGACCCGGACGTTTTCGGGATGCCGCTACTAACCAACGAATGGCAAGTGCTCTTCCTTGTGGCTTTTTTATTTCAATGGGAACTTGATGAGTCGATCCACTCACGCGTCTCGCTTTTACTACTATCTTGGGAGTTACCTGAAGTATTGCTTCACGTAAAACGGATAGTGGATTTTTTTCTGTCTTTTGTTGAATCCTTTTCATAGCTCGATAGAAAATTCGATAAGCCAATAATTTTTTTCCGTGTTTCATAATATGGTTAATAAACCTGTTAACTACTTGATTACGATAAATTGGATCAGATTTTTCGATTTTCTTTTCTGCAGTACCTCGTCGTGACATGAGCTTAATAATCCATTTTTTTTATAACTTAACTTATGGGGCTAAAATAATAATTTATTTTGGCTTTTTGGCTCCATATTTTGAACGCCCTTGTTGATGATCCCTTACTCCGCCAGCATCTAGGGGTCCTCGAACAATGTGATATCTCACACCAGGTAAATCCTTAACCCTTCCCCCTCTTACTAAGACTACAGAATGTTCTTGTAAATTATGGGCAATACCAGGTATATAAGCAGTAATTACAAATCCTGAGGTTAAGCGTACTCTGGCAACTTTACGTAACGCAGAGTTTGGTTTTTTCGGGTTAATAGTGTCAAAGTTGACAGATAAGTCATCCTTACTGCCACTCTACAGAACCGTACATGTGATTTTCACCGCATACGGCTCCTCGTTCAATTCTTTTGAAGTAATTAGATCCTTTATCCTCGTTCGATAATCTCCATTTCTTCCCCCAAACCCAACAAAATAACGAGAACGAATGAAGTCAGCCACGTTTTCATGTTTGAATTGAACACTTTCGTTTTTTTATTCTCAAAGGAGAAAATTATTCTTTTTACTTTTACCAAACATATGTGGATCCAATTATGATCTTCTAATCAACTGTTTCAATCAATAGAAAACCTTTTTTTTTGTATGAATCCATATTATTACATTCCAATTCCTTCCCAATATTTCCCAAAGAAAATACCGAATTGGATCTTAAATTGACGGGTTAGTGTGAGCTTATCCATGCGGTTATGCTCTCTTTGAATAGGAATCTATTTTGTGAAAAATCCCGGCTTTCGTGCTTTGGTGGGTCTTTGAGATCCTTTTGATGACCTATGTTGAAAAGATATCTATTATGATTAGAATATAGAATATATTCTAGAATAATATTTAATATATTCTAAATAGATGTTTACTCTTCCATAATAGTATTAATTAGTATAAAATTACTATTAAACAATACTCTTTGAATATAGCTAATTCATAGTATTCCAGTCCAACATTTTTATTTGAAAACTTTTTGAGTTATCTGTAAAAATAGATTCAGCTAATGAAAAGGCTTTCAATGCTGCCGTATATCCTTTTTTTTCCAAAAATTCTTACGAATTTTTTTTTTTGATATAGAAGTGCGTTTTTTGGGAACTGGCATACGCTTTATTAGTAGTTACACGAGTGCTCAGATCAATACCGAAACACATATAGAGTGCCTGGTCTTTAAGCCCGATAATGCCACAAAGAAAGAGCACAAGCAGGAATCCCTGCACCGAATCCATACCGAAGAGACTTGAAAAGGTCTCAGATGATCTACACCGAAAAGACATTAGGAGCACTCATTCCTTGTACCCGGGGAACTTATTCATAAGGGAGGGGATCTACACCAGAAAAGGAGTTTACGGCCGGTTCCCATATAGACACTGTGGCCCACCCTTTCTTTGAACCTTGTCAATGATCGAACTTAAAGATATGAACTGAGTGCCATTTGATGAGTAACTGAGAACAAGGGAGAGGGATATGGAAAGGATGAAGTAATGAAAGACGAAGTCATTGCTAGTAGTAACGACTTGTCACGATCCATTGGTTCATATAAAATCCATGTCCTAGGTGTATCAAAAAACATTCTTTTCGCTAAGCGTATATAATAAAATAGAGTGAAAGGTCCACCCCGAAAGGGGGTACTAACTAACAGCTGAGTCCTCTCCGAACCGCAGGTGATAGTTGCCCATCATACGACTCACCAACTTAACTTGCCTCTATGGGAGACTCGCTCCGGGCAGGTTCGGATTACAATACACGGCTCTACGAAGGAAAGGGTTGGTGGGTTGGGAACGTTTTAAATATTATTATTTTTCTGCGATGAGAAATGCAAGACGAAAAAGGAACCCATCTTTTCGACTGGGAAATGCGAGTCTGTTTTGTCCACTTTCTCCATCCCTCTCTATCAAAATGATAAAAAAGGAAGGCGAGCTTGCTTCTTATTTTCGTGTTCGATCTCTTCCATCTCTGCCCCGCTCGTTGTCACCTATGTTGAAGAAAGGTTTGGAACCCTGTAGAGAGTTAGGAGGGGCCAAGGATCTTCCTCTCAACAGTGCTTCTCGGGGCTCCACTCTCCCCCCCCCCCCCTGAATAAGTAAGGCCCCGTTAGCCTGGGCGAGGGGATATGGAATAAGGATGGAAGCCCCCTTCACTCTGCCAGGGACTGGACAGGGGTTAGCTCTGTAAATGTGTAGAGCCGAGTGTAGTGTGGTGTAGTAGTTGGAACTTCTAGGCCCCTTCCCGGCTACTGGACCACTCCAGTTCTTTGGGTACTACGGACCCTCTGCCATCCATTGCAGCAAAGTCGTTTCATGAGCGGGGGGGGGGGGGGGGGGGGGGGGGGGGGGGGGGGGCTAAGCGCAGTTCTTTGAATCAAACGTTGAATGAAATCGATTCTTTTTTAGATATCAAAATAAAACTAGGATAGGATAGATGGATGGATCTATCTTTCTATTAATATATATGACTAAAAAAAATGGATTTATTTAAGTAGTGTAGCAAGAAGCCCCCAATCCTTGATTTGGCCAAGAAAGACTGCACTGCTTTGGGCCCAGGAAGCGAAGGGAATGATCTCGGCTTCTTATCCTCCACACTTATTTTTTATCTCCTTGCCCCTTTCGCATGCGCTTCGCGCGCCATTGGCGCTTTGCTCTCCTCTTATTCTTCATTGGACGGTTCGGATGGACTTCACCGTTCTTTCCCAACAAAAATAGAAAAGGCTGTATCACATCGAGATGTGGATTCGTTTTCCGCCCCCAATGAGATGGGGAATTTGTAACCCCCTATTTTTACTTTTGTTTGGACCCTTCATCTTTCTGAATGGAGGCCCGGCTCGCGTCGTTCCAACAACCGGCGGGGAGCACCTCATTATACGATTGCGCGCAGTAACTGGGAGTCCTTTTTTTTACACCTAAGGCAAACTTCAATTCACCAAACCAAGGTTCATCTCGTGTAGTGATTGTGGACTCGTACAAGGATATTGAGTAGACGATTGATGTTTCAGACTCGACCCTATCTTTCGTAGCATGCATTCCCATCGGTGTCGCAACTGATTCGGTAAGCTACGTGTCCGGTGCACGGAGAACTGCCTTCGGTCCCCCAAACTGACTGACTCGTGGCAATCTTCCGGCCGCCCAACAACCTATAATGCTAGTCACTACTCCCACTGGGGCTAGGAAGTAAGCCCCACAACCCAAAGCGGCGAAGAACAAATAGAATTTGCTACAAAGACCTTGTTGATCCGGGACCAGAGCCTGTTGACTAAGTAGCAGATAGACCCTCGGAGGGGACGCCCGCAGCAGACTCAGCAGAGGGATCAGGGGCAGGAATATAACAAGCTCCATAGCCGGTTGTTAACCTAATAGCATGATGGGCATAGACAGTACCATAGGTTGGTTCCAGATCGAGCTATTAAAGCACCTGACGGAACAGAACCGAAAATCTGGTAGAGGAAAAGGCAGGAGTCTATTTAGTAGACTTAGTTGCGTATGTTGAGTAAAGAACAGCCCCGTGAAGCTACGGGCTTTCCCTCTGTCTGGCGCGCATCCTTCCCTCCCCTCCTTTCTATCATTAGAAGCAAAGAAAGGCAGGAGCTGGTTTTTAGTCCTAAGTAACAGATTGAGTAGCTTTTATAACCAGCATCTAAGTAACTTCCAGATCTATAGTCACCATCAGTGTTAGATCCTCTAGGTGCAGGGGAAGCAAGCACCTAAATTGGTGCCTCTTCCTTTCCAGCTCCTCTAGTAAAGAAAGGATCACCTCCGCCCAATAGAGCCTAGCCCGAGAGAGGACTTCTCCAGTGTGGATCGAAATGGTCTCGCGAAGCCGGTCCCCGGATAGCCAACCGAAGACTCTCAGAAAAAACAACCTTGACATGACCTCAGAATCAGAGATCAAGAGAGAACTAGTGATCAAGAATGACTCGATCCCTAACTGACAGATTCGATGACGAGAGTTTCAGATTCAGGAATCGAAAAATTCGTGACTATAGATAAGAATTCGGATATGCTGAACATCTTAGTCTGAGTATGCCGGATATGTCTTTGCCCAGTGGAGTGGAGAATCAATAGAGCTCGTGGTTGATCTTCCCCGATCCGCTTCTTCCCCTTTTTCATTGTATTAAACCGGACGCTAGTCCATTATATGAGAACCTATCGATGGTTTAGCTGCGGAGATCCTTCACCTTTTCCATTGGTCTTTGCTCCAAGCTTGAACAAGGGCTTTCTCTCTGCTTGAGTGGCTTGAAGCTACAACAATCAAGGTTGGGCCTTTTATTGCTCTTCTCTTGTCCCCTCGGGCTTATTATATTAAATTAAGGCAAGCGGTGGAACTGGAAAACTATCAATGCTTTTCTCCCTGTCTTTCCACTCATATAATGAAAAAATAATTAATCTCGGATACGTCTTATTCCGTGATCCATTTAATGAATCATTAGAGTGCGCGTTGCGTGAGGAGTTAAGGGTTATTCCAGTCGATTGATCCTCCGCTTCTGGCCATCTCGCTCCCATCGCTTTGTTGGCTGACAGCCCCTATCGCTAATCAGAGAGAGGTAGTGAATCTAATGTTGTGGCCGCCTTGAGCTCTTCTTCTTTCCGCCCTCTTTGCCGCAGCTATTCCATCTGGTGGTATACTAGAGTCTTCCTAAAGGCTGCTCTTCTGCCTGACCCTTAAGTAAGGGCGGTGGAACTCTTATACTTCCTTTATCCGCTATCGCTATGTCACAAAGTTGGGTAAGCAGTAGAACTCGTTGCCCTTTCTTCCACGCTAGAAGTGAAAGCCCAGCCAAGTTCTTGGAGAATCTATAGTTTCTGGTGTTGGGCGAGATGGGGAGAAAACTCCACTCCTTGCTTCAGCCCTTCTTCTCCCACAGACAGACCTGGGTGGGGATCTCTACTCGAATAGAAGGCGCGAACTCATCGATGCTATGACAACCCTTCCTTGCCTAACCGCAGCTGTTTTCTCAGGTCGAGTTGAGGGCTTTAGCTTCTATGATTCCTGTATTGTAGCTTTTGCGCCGGGTGTCTTATTTCTTTAACAAAAAGAAAGGCCAGTTCTTGTCTAATCGATAGTGGGTCATTCCTCTAATTATGGTTGAGCTGCCACTGATTGACTAACCTCGGTCAGGATCTCTGATCCCTACGACATGATCTCAGGTTCTTCCTCGGCCCCTTTCTTCTGTCTTTGACTTTTTGCTTTTTCTGTCCTAGGTAGGCTTCTCTTCTCGCTACTCCAGTCTAGTGGGGAAGGTCTGTTGGATTGTGGTGTTATGACTAATTAAGAAATAGTGTATATAAAAGTGATGATATGATGCCCAGGCTAGGAACTGCTGTTATTCATAGTAGGGTGCTGTTCCCTTTCCCGAAAGAAAGAGAAAGATCCCGAGAAAAAGGAAGTAGGCTTCGGTTCAATCTGGGATCGAACTATCCTCTTTTCTTTGGCTGTGTCAAGCTAGTTCTCTGATCCGAGGGGGACTCTTGTGAAGTAAAGAAAGTTTCCAGGAGGGATCGAACCGAACTTCCACTCAAAGCTTTGGCATATGGAATATTGTATTTTAGCTAGTCTTATTAGACTAGCTTTGCTTTATAGAGTACAAGAGCTTTCCCTATCAGCTGTAACTAGATAAGAAAGAATAAGTCCTGCTTTGCTTATTATAAATAAATATAAAGTCTAAATTGAAGACTTTCATTTATTTATATAATAAGGATTGCCAACAAAGCCTTTTTTTTGTTTGGGTCCAGGGCTTCTTTGTTTCGGACAAGAGTGTCCAGCACACAAGGGGAAATAGAATGCCCAAGGAAGATTAGCATGGGCAGAAGTGATATTTTATTGGATTCCATTCTTGAGCCACTCACGAAGTCCATGGTTAGGCTTGTTCAGATCAGAGGGGAGGCCAGAATTTAGTAGCTTTAGGGCAGGTTATGAGGACATGGTCGGTGCTTTCATTGATTCCTTGGCACCAACAGGATCCTTGACTAATGTGCCAAGTGTGGAGAAGGGCTAGACGATCATGGGCACAAAGCCAGAGGAAGTCGTTCACTCTAGGAGTAGTTTGGGCAAATCCACTTCCAGTCACTCGATTGGAGTCTTTGCTGAGAGTCTTGGGGTATGTCTGCCCTCAATTCTAAAAATAAAACTGAGACTTGTATATATAACATGTTGCAAATTGTTTTTACAAGAAAAACAATAGAATTTAAACACTTAATCCCAAACATTGATGCTGAGCCTATGCCTTCTCTTCCCTTGATTAAAGATGAATCAAGTCCTTCGAATGCGATGAGTAAACCTCCGATTACGGCACCACCTTTGAACAACCCTTTGGATAACACTACTAAATTCGAACCCAAACCTTCTTTCGACAATACTCCGGTTAACGCTACTAAATTTACAGAACCTAATGTTCTTCAATTACCTTCGTTTGATTGAACCTGTGAAGGAACAATTTGTGCAAAACCCCCAAAATCCAAGATTCTTGGAGGACAAAAACCTAAAGTTTTTATTCAAGAAAAACTCACTGACTTCTCAACCCAAATATGATACACCGATCCTAATTTTAGATGTTATCACCTCGATGATGCAGAATGCACAACAAAAATGATTAAGTGTAGTTGTTGAGAAAATGCAAGAAAGAGGATGAAGATGATGAGAAACAAATCAGTGTATATTTTCACTTTTCTTATTTTTTGTGTGTAGAAAAAAGCTATCTTAATATATACATATATGCAAAGTTATAACCAAATAACCAACATAGCAGTCACTTTGAATGGTAAACATAACAGTAATTTATGAGAAACGAGCGAGCAGTCGGCCTAAAACCAGAGGAGCTCGACCTGAGCTCTTCTGAATTCAAGATTATGTAGAAAACCGCTCTTTGCGTCGACCAGAACAGGTTCATGCGTCGACGCAAAGCACCCCATTTTTGACAAATATAAATGCACACAGTATGAGTCGACCGAAGGGTCGACGCAAACTCTCCTAAGAGCAACAAATGAAAATTATTATCTGCATGAGTCGACTCAAAGACTCAGAACTGGCAAAAATGCAGATTTTGATATGTTTAGCTACTTTTAAGTGTTTCTAATACATCTCTAACTCGACTAACATGATCAAACTCATATAGGACACATATAGTGCTTTTCCTATATGAACCAAGATACATTTTGACAAATGTTTGACACTAAAAAAATAATGTATGCATATGCGACTCGATGATACCGTCTAAAGTATATTTTTTTAATTATATATGTTTTGACATCATTAAAACAAATATAACGAAGTATGAGACACTTTGCCCTCACATAGTAAACATAGTAAGTATGTTGTTGTTATGGTTGCTTGAGTTGTGAGTTGAACGTCGCTGTTACAGTGTTGTTTCGTGGAGAATTGGTGGGAGTTCATGGAGCTTGTGTTTTCTTTTATGATGAAGGAAAGGAGCTTTATGTTGCTGCAGTGCGATTTTGGTACAGTTTTAGGTGGTGGTTGCAAAGTTTTGTGAAGGTGAGTGAAAGTAGCAAGAAGTTTGTGTGGTTTTCGTATACTAGCGCTCACGCGGGTCTTCAAAATCAAATGAATCAAGTAACTTGAGCATAAAGGAATGATCAATGTACCCTTTTGCAAACTTAGTATTAGTATCAGAAGAAAACTAATATTTGAGGAGAAATTAAAAAACGAGCTACAAGTGAGGGATTCACGTTACAAAATGCAGTTTTTCTTTTTACCTTAATTTTTTTACTTCTTTGAATGAGAGAGATGGAGGATTAATGAATCTATGAAGAGTGGGTGGTGAGTTTTGTCTTCTTTGTATAGAGAATTATTTGAGGAATAATGAAGGTAATATATGATTATGGTGTGATAGTAGAGATGAAAATATGGTGGTCTCTTATTGGTTGTTCACTAAAAAATACGTTGAAGGAGGGAGTGGAAAGAAGTAGGTTGTTGGCACGTCGATTTTCATGAAAATGCAGGTAAAGAAAAATGACTTTCGTTGTGTGAACAGTAGGCGGTAGACGTTTTGAGAGAGAGGAAAATTGGATCGTTGGGATAGGCACGCCTCTTTGTATTTTGCTACGTGTTTTTTATGATTTCAAAATGAAAGGAAGAGGGATCCAAATGAAGGTAGGAGGCACCGTTAATCGGTGTGCCTAGGTTTTTCTTTCTTATGCATTGGCCAATCACAATAGAATATATAGCATGAATATGGGCTTTCCAAAATTTAATGTAATTCCCCAATTACCCTTTAGACTATTTTTGATTTAAATGAGTTTAATAAATAAATTGAAATAAAAAATCAAATACTTTAAATCAAGCAAAATAAAATAAAATAAAGTATTTACTTATTCCTATTAATTTTTTATGAATATTTTGACTAAAAAAATAAAAGGAATTAAAATAAATTAACATAACGAGCGAAAACGTGCGTAAAAAATAAAATGAACACGTTAAAATGTTCTACGTGAAATAAAGCTCCAGAAAAGAGACATGTAAAGATCAAATTTTGCAATAAAAATGTCCGGTTGAAAAAGCTCAGACTGATCAAAATGCGACTACAAATGGAATCGAAAAAATTAAACGAGCATGTTAGGTTGAACTACGTGAACCGTAGATCCATAAAACTGACAAGCTGCAAGCCCAATCTTGAAATTTTTTCAGTCGCTAATTTTACGTGCATTTGAAAATTGATTCAATCGGTCTGTCTGTAAAACCAAAATTTTAATTTGGTCAACTTTTTAAGCATTATGCTTACATGAATGCATGTTATGATGTGCAGAAGATGCAAACATCTTGATATGCATGGATTTATTAAATTAGGAGCAAAATTAGGATATGAAAACTGTCCCTATTTAAATATTTTCAACTCTTCATATGATCGCAGTAGGAGA